TTTTTAAAAAAGAATTATTATAATATATATATTATAGTGTTAAAAAAAATAAAAAAATATTATAAAATAATAATACTAAGTAGGTAATAATAATAATAGATTTGAATAATATTATGCAAAAATAATTTGATATGTATCCATAAAAATGTCAAAGACACGTGGCATTTATGTGCTTCAAATTGTTTACACGAGCAAGTGAGCTAGGTATGGCTCCATCCATAATATTTGGTATAAGCTTAAGGTGTCAAAAATCAAAGGAAAAACTTGATAATCAAACACTTAAGTTCGGCAGCCGACTTAAGATCTTTTTATTCAAAGTGTCCTAATAAGTCATAAGAGGGTTAATTAGGTAAACCTATTATGGTTAGTGGATCCAATGGTGATGATAGACGACTATCATCACTGGTCGTGAGCTTTGCAATGATCTTTTCCTACTAACTATCCAGGTATTCGATATTGTAAACATAACAATGAAAGAAAATATTTAAATAATGGTTATTTTAGGTTAGGTTAGGATAGGAGATCAAATTAGACGTTAACTAATTATCATAGTTTTGAACACGGTCTTAAAGACTGCCAGCTAGAGTTGTACCAGTATAATTAAAAACTTAAATACAGCCAACTTTAATTAATGTTTTTTTTACCACAACGAACTATAAATAATATGTATTTTAAAATATAATAAAATATAATGTTATTAGGTTTTTTTATAAGATTTTAAATACTTATTAATTTTTAAATATAAAATGTATAACTTGATATTATTTTAAATTAAACATTATTTTATGTCCTTCATAAATTACAATCAAATGGTAGAGTCCGTAAAGGACCTTTTTCTCATTTAATTATTTTGCATCCTTAATAAATTACATTCATTTTTATACATTTTCTAATACATATATTACAGTGATACACCTCTGATCATAATAACTATTCGTTAATTATAAATTATAATGTAAACAATACCTAGTTTTTGGGTTTTAGTTAAAATGTACCTTCCAGCGTATTCTTTTGTTTAGTGTTAATTCACATGGGTTCCTCATAGTCTAATTTTTTCGATTCATTTTACTCTAGTAGATCTTTTTGTACAAACGTTTTTAAACGAGCTGTATAATCGTTGATATGTGTTCTGATTGTATAATTTTTTCAAAATTTTTTTTGGTTTTCTAAAATGCAATTGCCTGCGGGCGCCAACACTCCCCTTCAATTTATTTTTTAGGAATTTGACTCTAGTTGAATTTTTTGTATAAACTTGAATATTGTTAACAAGCAGGTGCCCTCTGTATCATCATTCTTTATGAGCTAATCATTGGCAATATTGTTTTTTCGGTTTTGGATTCTGGACATTTCATTTTGAACTCTTTAATGTGTTCTCCTACTGTATATTTTTTTAAAAATTTTTTTTGGTTTTCTAAAATGCATTTGCCTGCGGGCGCCAACACTCCCCTTCAATTTTTTTTTAGGAATTTGACTCTAGTTGAATTTTTTCTATAGACTTGAATATTGTTAACAAGCAGGTGCCCTCTGTATCATCATTCTTTAATGGGCTAATCATTGGCAATCTTGTTTTTTCGGTTTTGGATTCTGGACATTTTATTTTGAACTCTATAATGTGTTCTCCTACTGTATATTTTTTTCAAAATTTTTTTTTGGTTTTCTAAAATGCATTTGCCTGCGGGCGCCAACACTCCCCTTCAATTTTTTTTGCGGAATTTGACTCTAGTTGAATTTTTTCTATAGACTTGAATATTGTTAACAAGCAGGTTCCCTCTGTATCATCATTCTTTAATGAGCTTATCATCGTCAGTTGTTTTTCTGTTTATGAATCTGAAGATTGTAGTTTGAACTCATTGATATGTGTTCTGATTGTATAATTTTTTATAAATTTTTTTTTGGTTTTCTAAAATGCATTTGCCTGCGGGCGCCAACACTCCCCTTCAATTTTTTTTTAGGAATTTGACTCTAGTTGAATTTTTTGTATAGACTTGAATATTGTTAACAAGCAGGTGCCCTCTGTATCATCATTCTTTAATGGGCTAATCATTGGCAATCTTGTTTTTTCGGTTTTGGATTCTGGACATTTTATTTTGAACTCTATAATGTGTTCTCCTACTGTATATTTTTTTCAAAATTTTTTTTTGGTTTTCTAAAATGCATTTGCCTGCGGGCGCCAACACTCCCCTTCAATTTTTTTTGCGGAATTTGACTCTAGTTGAATTTTTTCTATAGACTTGAATATTGTTAACAAGCAGGTGCCCTCTGTATCATCATTCTTTAATGAGCTTATCATCGTCAGTTGTTTTTCTGTTTATGAATCTGAAGATTGTAGTTTGAACTCATTGATATGTGTTCTGATTGTATAATTTTTTATAAATTTTTTTTTGGTTTTCTAAAATGCATTTGCCTGCGGGCGCCAACACTCCCCTTCAATTTTTTTTTTAGGAATTTGACTCTAGTTGAATTTTTTGTATAGACTTGAATATTGTTAACAAGCAGGTGCCCTCTGTATCATCATTCTTTATGAGCTAATCATTGGCAATATTGTTTTTTCGGTTTTGGATTCTGGACATTTCATTTTGAACTCTTTAATGTGTTCTCCTACTGTATATTTTTTTCAAAATTTTTTTTTGGTTTTCTAAAATGCATTTGCCTGCGGGCGCCAACACTCCCCTTCAATTTTTTTTTTAGGAATTTGACTCTAGTTGAATTTTTTGTATAGACTTGAATATTGTTAACAAGCAGGTGCCCTCTGTATCATCATTCTTTAATGAGCTTATCATTGGCAATATTGTTTTTTCGGTTTTGGATTCTGGACATTTCATTTTGAACTCTTTAATGTGTTCTCCTACTGTATATTTTTTTCAAAATTTTTTTTTGGTTTTCTAAAATGCATTTGCCTGCGGGCGCCAACACTCCCCTTCAATTTTTTTTGCGGAATTTGACTCTAGTTGAATTTTTTGTATAGACTTGAATATTGTTAACAAGCAGGTGCCCTCTGTATCATCATTCTTTAATGAGCTTATCATCGTCAGTTGTTTTTCTGTTTATGAATCTGAAGATTGTAGTTTGAACTCATTGATATGTGTTCTGATTGTATAATTTTTATAAATTTTTTTTTGGTTTTCTAAAATGCATTTGCCTGCGGGCGCCAACACTCCCCTTCAATTTTTTTTGCGGAATTTGACTCTAGTTGAATTTTTTCTATAGACTTGAATATTGTTAACAAGCAGGTGCCCTCTGTATCATCATTCTTTAATGAGCTTATCATCGTCAGTTGTTTTTCTGTTTATGAATCTGAAGATTGTAGTTTGAACTCATTGATATGTGTTCTGATTGTATAATTTTTTATAAATTTTTTTTTGGTTTTCTAAAATGCATTTGCCTGCGGGCGCCAACACTCCCCTTCAATTTTTTTTGCGGAATTTGACTCTAGTTGAATTTTTTCTATAGACTTGAATATTGTTAACAAGCAGGTGCCCTCTGTATCATCATTCTTTAAAGAGCTTATCATCGTCAGTTGTTTTTCTGTTTATGAATCTGAAGATTGTAGTTTGAACTCATTGATATGTGTTCTGATTGTATAATTTTTTATAAATTTTTTTTTGGTTTTCTAAAATGTATTTGCCTGCGGGCGCCAACACTCCCCTTCAATTTTTTTTTTAGGAATTTGACTCTAGTTGAATTTTTTGTATAGACTTGAATATTGTTAACAAGCAGGTGCCCTCTGTATCATCATTCTTTAATGGGCTAATCATTGGCAATCTTGTTTTTTCGGTTTTGGATTCTAAACATTTTATTTTGAACTCTATAATGTGTTCTCCTACTGTATATTTTTTTCAAAATTTTTTTTTGGTTTTCTAAAATGCATTTGCCTGCGGGCGCCAACACTCCCCTTCAATTTTTTTTTAAGAATTTGACTCTAGTTGAATTTTTTGTATAGACTTGAATATTGTTAACAAGCAGGTGCCCTCTGTATCATCATTCTTTAATGAGCTAATCATTGGCAATATTGTTTTTTCGGTTTTGGATTCTGGACATTTTATTTTGAACTCTTTAGTGTGTTCTCCTACTGTATATTTTTTTCAAAATTTTTTTTGGTTTTCTAAAATACAATTGCCTGCGGGCGCCAACACTCCCCTTCAATTTTTTTTTTAGGAATTTGACTCTAGTTGAATTTTTGTATAGACTTGAATATTGTTAACAAGCAGGTGCCCTCTGTATCATCATTCTTTATGAGCTAATCATTGGCAATATTGTTTTTTCGGTTTTGGATTCTGGACATTTCATTTTGAACTCTTTAATGTGTTCTCCTACTGTATATTTTTTTCAAAATTTTTTTTTGGTTTTCTAAAATGCATTTGCCTGCGGGCGCCAACACTCCCCTTCAATTTTTTTTTTAGGAATTTGACTCTAGTTGAATTTTTTGTATAGACTTGAATATTGTTAACAAGCAGGTGCCCTCTGCATTATCATTCTTATGTTTATCATTCAACCTATGTTAAGTCCTTTGACTCCTTCCGGAACACTGCCGGAAAAATCAAAAACCACGCGCGCCTATACGTTACGCGTCATACACGCATTAGTCACCTTTCACTTTCGTGCACTAAGTACGGTTACCTCAAAAGCCCGGGAGCTCTTGAAATTTATTTCGTCGGATAGAAAATGTTCAAAGCTTTCGGGGACATAGTAATATGCGACCGAACAGCCCAGGGGACTTTTTTTTCGTACTGAATATAGTGGCGGCTCGTGGGTAAAATAGTTGGTGGTGCACATTTATAAAAAATATATTTAAAACTTTATGTATAGTAATAAATACCAAAATTAATAATAAATTAGGTACATTAGAAAATCTGAACTTTATTAATATATTTATAGGTATTCTTACACAATTATAATATATATTTTTTTTAAATATTCATATTTCTTGTATTATACTATTATATTAAGTATTTATAGTAAGTATTAATACACTTTGAAAAATAAATCATAATTTATTATTATTAGTCAGATACATTTTTATAAATTAATTCTATTCTTCTTTCTTTCTTCTCAGCAAACATATCAATAACCTTTTCATTAAAATTAGGAATATTTTTGATCATACATTTTTCAATTGATAACATCGACAACGCTGATAGTCGATCTTCTGACATGGTGCTACGCAAAAAAGTTTTGATCCTCTTCAGTGTGGAAAATGATCGTTCAGCTTCAGCGGAAGTCATAGGTATAGTTATAACAATTTTTAAAAGTTTGGATGTTTCAGAAAATGTATCAAGTAATTGATTTTCTATAATAAATTTAAGTAAATTTACTGCTGCTGAAATGTTTTTAAAATCATTTCGTTTATAGATAACCTGTAGCTCGGTTTTTAATTTAAATGTATCTATAAATGGGTATGCTTCTACAGTTTGTTCGAGGTAAAGTTGGGGAAAGTTTTTTCATAATTTTCAAAATTATCTAACAAGAATAAGTTGGCTGCGATTAGATGTCCTTTGTACTTATACAGCTCGTTAACGTTCACAATAATTGTGTCACACACTTCTTTAGCTATATTATTTCTAGTTAAATAAATATTTTCTCGTCTTCTTTTGGCAGATTCACCTTCATCTACTTGTATATTGTCTAAATTATCCCTTTCCTTCTGAATATTAATTTCGAAATTATGTATTGAATTATTTATTTCTACCGGGCTTGTACTTCTTTTTTGCAGTTGGTTATATATAATATCTACGTGAGGCATGATACGATGGAAAACATTTAACCAATAAATAAAAGTTGATTCTAGCAACATTCTACGTAGGTCACCTGCCTGGTTAATTGTAATAGTTTGATTTGAAGTAGTCTCAATTTTATCCATACATTCAATAAGTAATTCTCTATTTTCGTAAACTGTATTCACAACTCTACTTTTAAAATTCCATCGAGTTTCTACTGTTTTAGGCAACCTTTTTTTCACTATCTCATCTAAAACTTGAACTCTTTGAGGAGAACGGGTAAAAAAATTTGTTATGTCCGTTAGGTTAGAAAAAAATATACGTGTCTCTTTACTTTTACAAGAAGCAGCTTTCATAATTAGATTTAACTGATGGGCGTAACAGTGGACGTAATGTGCATTAGGATAGTCGGATTTTATTAAAGTTTGTACCCCGGATATATGACCACTCATAACATTAGCACCGTCATAACTTTGTGTTATTAATTTTTTTTTTATCGGTTAAGACGTCTTGAAGTGTAGATTTAATACATTCAGACAAACATTTAGCATCATGACCAATTGGATTAAAGAAGCCCCAAAATCGTTCCACTGGTGATCCATCTGTAAGAATATATCGAAACACAATAGACATTTGAAAAGAATTAGATACATCCGTAGTTTCGTCAGCAATTACCGAAAGAAAATCAGCTTGATTAATTTCAGTTTTAATTTGATTTTGGCAAATTGTTAGGGTGCAGTCTAAAATATCATTTTTAATCTCTTTTGAAATACCTTTAAAGACAGTAGCTTTTTCCAAATGAGTTTTAAGTGCATAGTCTAATTCTGCTGTAAAATTTATGAGTCCTTTAAAAATGCCAGGATTTACTGAATCAGCTGTTTCGTCATGACCACGTAGAGCAAGTTCAAATGCACCACAAAATCGTATGCAATCAATAATTTTAGACAAAATGTATCGATTTTCTTTTACTTGCTCGTTATACTTTTAAATATTTAAGCGAAATGCGCTATTTAGCTGTTGACGAATATCCTGTTTTCCTAACAACTTTAAACTTAACTGAGCATTTATGTGGGTTTGTGTTTTTTCGTGGGATTTTATTTTCGCTGATAAATGACTTAAATCATCAATACCTACTTTACTCCAACTTATTTCATTGGACCGACTAAAAATAACACACGGGAAACAAAACAGCTTATTAGTTATGTCACAACCACATATCCAATCGTTTTTGTCATACGTTTCGATATTAAAATTTCTCTTAATTGTTCTATCTTTACATTTTGATTCTTTGACAATAATTAAATTTGGTTTTGGCCTACCTTCATTTTTAATTGCAATTTTTTGCTCCAATGACAACAAAGAAAAATTTAATTTAGTAAGTGAACTAATAGAATTTAGTTGAGACATTTTAAACTAGTATTTAAAAAATATACTAATAAATATATTAATCGTGTATACTGGTTTCTAAAATATTAAATATAAGTAACAAAAATGTAAAATGTAGACTGTTATCTGCGGGCTACGATAGTTTGTAACCACGATTAAAGATATACAGGTTGCACATCGACTACTGATAAGGTGAAATACGAAATGACTACCAATAATTAACCAGTGGCGCTCCAAGCGGCAGTATTACAATTAACCGATTATAGATATATAGGTGTAAAATTAGTTCTAAATGTCGACACATATGGTTGAGTGTTGACATTAAGCGCCACTAGTTAATTATTAACAGCTGATTTTTATAGTCACTTTGTAAATCAGTCTGGAAGCGGTTTACTACAGGGCGATGTGCAACCTGTATATCTTTAATCGTGATTTTTTTTTTTTTTTTTTTTATTGATCTATTTTTTATTTAACAACCCGGCATCATAGGCCATTAGTTACAGTTTTTTTTTTGTGCTACTTTTGTTACATGCTTTTATGCGAGTAGTGGGAATGAAAATGCTTATACGCATGCGCGAACCGATCATATTTTCACTGTGCTCAATCCGCGTAATCAGCGTCGCTATCATCATAACGCGTATACAACTGTACCATACTCCACAACTCCTACGTCCTATCACTTATGAATTATCAACTATTATAGTAGGTACTGTGGTAATACCCGTGGTGCGTTACCACTGTCGTGGTCCGAAACGTGGTTTCGGGTACGCCGGATATTACTTATGTTTTTTGACACCAAAATCAGGAGGTTTCTAAGTAGGTAGGTAGGAGGTAAATGACGAAACGACAAATTCGATGTTGAATCGACTGAGTAATATTTTCAAACATAAAAATAGTTAAGATATAAAAATGACAGTTAAAAAGGTACGTAATTAAAACAAGTCGTCGAGACGTAGGGCTGCTCGAGTTTATGTTACGAGAGCGAAAAAGCGAGTGACGCGATGGTAGCGCGCGACGGCGGCTTCGAGCGCGTAACGGCGAAGTCGCCGCGCGAGGCGGGAGAAAAAGTCGGGTCGTCACGTGACCAAAGACGGTACAATATTTTATAATAATTTCACAGAGACAATAAATAAAAAGAATACAATATAAATCACAAGACGAATACAATGTAAAAAATGGTTATTTGAAAAAGGGCGCGCTAGCGTAAGTGGTGATAAGGCGCCGGAATCACCACATTACTCCCCCTCGGCGGGAAAAAAACGGACTCGTTTTTTTGGGGGGTGTTCGATCGATTGCGCGGCGTACGAATGGTCGGCGGTAGGATCTTCCCGGGCGATGAATGCTGGCTTGAGTCGGTCGATGGAAATCCACGTCGTTGATCGATGGCGCTGTACCTTGAATGTTTTTTCGCGGCGTTCCAAAACTGCAAAAGGTCCCTCGTATCGTGGCTGGAGCGGCGGCTGGACGGCGTCGATCCGGACGAAAACGTGACTGACCTGGCTTAGGTCGTTCGGTACGAACGTAGCGCGTTGTGTGCTGTGGTTGGTACCGGGCGTGAAACGTAGCTGCGCCATGAAGTCCCGGAGCGTCGCTACGAGCTCGGGCGGTTTAGGTTCGGCGGGCGCGGCGTGAAACATTTCACCAGGAAGTCGAAGTGTCGCGCCGTAGACCAACTCGGCTGGAGTGTGCTCGAAACCAACCTTGATCGTGTTGCGCAGTGCGAGGAGGACGATTGGCAGCTTCGTTGACCACTGTGTCGATTCGTGTGCAGTGAGCGCGGACTTAAGCGTTCGATGAAAACGTTCGACCAAACCATTTGATTGAGCGTGATACGGCGAAGTTCTCGTGTGCTGAATGCCGAAAGTCGAAAAAAGAGAACGGCATAAGTCGGACTCGAACTGTCTTCCCTGGTCGGTGGTGATGATGTCGGGAACGCCGAATCGTGCGATCCAATTCACGATCAGCGATTGTGCGACTGCGTGAGCTGACATATTTTCGAGTGGCCAGGCCTCTGGCCAGCGAGTGAATCGGTCGACGACGGTGAGTAGGTACTTGAAATTGTTGGACGACGGCAGTGGTCCGACGAGATCGACATGAATGTGACCAAAACGACGTTCGGGCGGCGCGAAAGGCGTGATCGGAACTTGGTGATACGCACGTACCAAATCGAGCTTCGTGAAAATCGTTTTTCCGGCGAGGTTTGCCGTGAAGTCGTGTAGGTGCGGCAACGGGTACCGGTCGGCCACCGTGACAGCGTTGAGCCGGCGGTAATCACCGCATGGTCGAAACGTACCGTCTTTTTTCGGAACCAGTAAAAGCGGGCTGGCCCACGAACTCGATGACGGCCTGCAGATGCCTTTCTGCAGCATGAAATCGAACTCTTGCCGTGCGATTCGTAGACGATCGGGCGGCAGTCGGCGTGGTCGGGCGAAAAGTGCTGGGCCGGTGGTATGTAGCTCGTGTACCACGTCATGTAGGAACTTGGTCGGTACGGGCGATTCGCGCGTGACTTCGGGGTAGTCGCGAAGTATATCAGTCCACTTCGATGGTCGAGCGACGGCACAAATCGCGGTACGGGGCGAGGCGGTAGCGGGCGTGATTTTTACCGAACTATTTACCGAGAGGTCGACAAGGCGATTTCGGCGTATGTCGATGAGCAAACCGTAGTAATGCAGGAAATCGGCTCCGATAATAGGTCGAGAAACGTCAGCCATTTCGAACGTCCAGGTGAACAGTCGTTTGAAACCCAGATCGAGATGTAGTTGTCTTGGCCCGTAGGTTTTGATTTGTGAGCCGTTTGCGGCTACGAGTCTTATTTCGTTGCTCGAAGTGTGGACGTTGTTTTGCCGAAAGTTGGGTGGTCGCGGTAACACCGAAATTTCCGCGCCGGAGTCGATTAAAAATCGACGACCGGTACCGGTGTCGTTGACGAAGAGTCGGTGTGTTCGCGCGGCGAGGTGCTGTTGAAGCACCGCCGCCTCATGGATTTTTCCGTGTCGCCGACACGTAAGTGCACGGGTCGCGGCACTTGCGCGCATCCGCGCCGTACTGGTCGTGGTAGTAGCACCAACCAGCCGTTATGATGGGTCGCGGCTGCGACTGCGATCGGGAGCGATCACGCTGTTGGCGCGTGGAACGATCGTTGGTCGTGCGAGTCAACGCGGCTGCTTGTGATGTGGCCAGGGACGCGACTTGAGCTGTAAGCGCGTGTATCGCGTTTTCAAGCGCGAGAAAACGCGCGTCTTGGTCGGGTGGACCTGCCGGCGGGATCGGGCGAGTGATGTGTTGCGACTCGCGTAAGTCGTGGTCCCTCGTGACAGCCGAAATTTCACTGCTCTGAGACGCCTCCCAAACTCGGTCGGCGAGGAAGTCGACGGAACCGGTAAGACCGGCGATGACGGTGCGGACAGGTGGCGGCAGCTTGCTCAGCCAAAACGCGAGCAGAGAGGCCTCCGTCATGCCGTCGGGGTAGATTTCCCGCATGTCCCGGAGCAGGCGTGATGGGGCGCGATCGCCCATGCCGCCGGGCTGGATCATGCGCTGGAAGCGCGTTGCTTGCGGAATGCTGTATGCGGCGATGAGTCGTTGTCGGATGGACTCGTACGTCGCGTCCGATCCGAGCAGATCCGCGATCGTGCGGACACCGTCTTCGTCCAGAGCTTCAAGCACGTGGTTCACGCGCGACAGATCCGAGCGGATTCGCTTGTTCGCGAACATGGCGTCCGCGTGCGTGAACCACTGCGTAGGGGAGTTATGCCAGAACCCCGGAAGCCTGACGTGGGTGAAAGATGCGGTTTCCACGTAAGCACTCGGTGTGGTCGTGGTCGCCATCGTCGTGGTGGTGATTGGCGGATTGCCACCTGTCGCGGCGACAGTGATGCTGGGCTCGATCATTCTGGATCTCGCGGATAAACGCGGGTGAAAAAGTGAACTCGACGTTGGTCGTGAAAGTCGGGTTCGGTAGACGCACTCGCGGTCGGGCGGAACTTTCGTGTCGGAAATCGGCGGGCGGAATCGAGTACCTCAGAACGTTACTGGGTAATGTCGTTTAACGAATTCGGAGGTC